ATTTTCATATACATAGATAGGTTAAGTGTTTGTTTATGGTATGGTTAATAAATATTAATATGATTTATTGGGAAGAATCAGACATGGATGTGGATTGATGCATGCCTAAGCAGCTAGTCAAAYCTCATGGAGAAGGAAWTTGAAGTAGAGTGGAATGTAGCAGCCATATTCTAGCAAGAAAGGATGAAGTACCCTGAGGCAACTGCTGCATCATATTCTAGCAATAAATATTATGTATATGTACATGTAAGTATGTTTAGGACTGGAAGGCAACCAGCCCCWAATGAGAAACCTTAAGAGGACAGGAATACACTTGCTGTCCTTCCTTRGCAAGGAGTGATGAGAGTCTKAGACAACCTTTTTGATTCAACAGCTGTATGGTTTAGTTTCTAGGCATACCAGTGAAGCGAGTGTGCATTTTGCGCAAGTATAAATGAATATGGGCCTTATGCAAGGTCCACCCCCTAGGTGGGGGAGCAAGAAGKTATACGCATTAAGGCTTTTAGCACAAAAAAGGTGAAGGCAACTGTCCACAGACCTGTGCAGTCGGTGATTGAGAAGACTGCACTTAATCGAGTAAAAAGCATTTTAGCTTAGGCACCCTTGCAGGGTGTATACCATTGTAGGAAAACGATAGCAGCTTATCTCCCTTCCATTCCATGAAATTTGCTGGGTACAAATATAATCAAAACTCTCCCTTGTAGTAACACTATCACCCTTGAATATGAGAAAATTGAAGCATATTGAGAGGAGTGGGTTCTAGTCCTAAGCTTTAATCAAGGATTACATGTCATTCTTGAGCTTCAATGACTGGTCATGTGGGATATTGTAAGTTTCTATTTACTTCCATGTTGACCCTTTTGTTTGTTTCATTTGGCTATGATTTGGATAAATTAATTTAATTACTGATTACTCAAATTTTAAAGGAGGGTCGTTGTGGTTTATATTGAGCTACGGATTCTGTGTATTATAATCAACTATTTTTATCATACATATATGGACATGGATGAAGTGAATATTTTATAATTGGCTCACTTACGTTGGTGTCAGTGCAAGAATGAGTGTTGCATCATTGAGTGGCCTTTGCAGCTTCAAGGCAAGATTACTGTTATTCTATAAAGGGAAAATTGCACCAAAATGGAACTAACTTTGCCCTAATTTCTAATTTTGGGAACAAACTTTCGAAAATCATCATTATAAGGGTTTGAAGCAAAGTTTACGTTTACTGAACGGGTCTCGTTGACTGGTTGAGAGGTAACATGTCACTTTAATATGATGTGGCAAATCATAAATTAACAAAATATTATTTATCATGCCTCGTCATATTTATTTTACAAAGAATACAAAATAAAAATCAACAAAAATAAATAATGCATGCAGACACCAAACCATCATCTTCTCCTTTTTCCCCTTCTACCCATCTCTGCTGCCCTTTCTTTATTTCCCAGCCACCACTATAACCAACGGTTCAACCCCCACCTTCCCCGATTTTTCCTGCCAGCCTCCCCTCCCCTGCTCCTTCCTCCTAGGCGAGTCCAACCCAATAATGGTAGAAGGGAGTACAAGTTAAAAACAGTAGTATGGTGGAGGTGCTTGGGATTTTGTTCGCGTTTTGAGAACTCAGTCACCACTCACTGATGAAATTGTTTCTGTAGCAAACAAGAAAGGAGAATGGGGATTGAACTTCTCATTCGGGACTGAACGAACACAAATTAAGAAGAGATGATGGTAAACCATATACACAACACATAGAGATGCAACTGTTCAGAAACAGTTTTGGCGGGAATAAGGTAACCGTCAACTACCTTAACGAATATAACAGCCATAGTCTCCTAGGATGATTTAGCTTATAATTTAAAAGAGAACCCAAAATGGGTTTGTGTATGTGCTATGTTTGTAGGAAAGGAAGATGATGGGGGTTTACCGTTTATGCCGGAGATGATGTTAGGGCAGAGATCACGGGACCGGAGACGTGTTTACTGTGCGTGTTATATATATATATATATATATATATTGTATTATATAATAAGTGAATAATATAATTTATAGTGATATATGTATAATATTATATTATGTTAAACATTAAAACACTAGTGTGTTATGCTTAAGAACTTGTACATTCAATTCTTTTTATATTAAAACAAAAATAATCAAAATGTCCGAAACTTATGAATTTTCAGTTAATGGTGTTAGAACAAACTACCTGTTTCAGAATCAAATGTGAATTTTTTGTTGTGACATGTCATAATTATTGATGCCATGTGATCATTATGATTTTTTTGCAAATGTAATTATGATGTGGAATCTTACTTGGCAAAATATTGAGCCAGTAATCCTTAGCAGGTTAAAAGGTCAACGAGACCCTTAAATATACACAAACTTTGCTTCAGACCCTTAAATGGTGATTTTTAAAGTTTGTTTCCTAAAATAGAAATCAGTGCAAAATTGGTTATTTTGATACAATTTTTCCTTCTATAAATATGACATTCCTACAAAATATAGAACAAATACCAAAGGCCTTTGTAAGTGATTGTGCGTGGGGATAAAATAACATTACGTCACTACATGATAGGGTAAAGTTTTTTAAATAGCAACAAAAGGCATTTCTMAGTGATTATGCTCAGATGATAGATGTCAATAAATGTCAAGTTCTGGAAGAACTATATGATCTCACATGTAAGAATGATGATCAATGTTACAACTATTACTATTTCGATGTCATTCATACTTAATTTTGCTGACTATGATTTATTAAGATGTGTCGGCTATTGTTGCTTTCATGACACACTCTCATTTTATGGGCTGTCCCACTGTGCTAATAATTGTTTTTTATATTGATATTTTCTAGTCACTCTTGCATAAATGTATTTATGCCCCCTGTGGAAGTCTAACTGGTTAGAGCTGTTGTTTTGCAGATCTTGCGGTCATCAAGGATGTATTGGAGATTGCTAATGTGTTAAACAGCAAATGGAAGGTAAAACTTCAGAAACATATGTGATCTTGATGTGCCATACGTTGTCATTTCTTATTGCTTTTTTATTGTTCGACTTTTTTGCTCCTGTGTCTTTCTCTTAATGTATGTTCTTCACTGGTGTAATATCATAAGATGCTAGACTGTTGCTATCTGGAAGAAATTTTGAACACCAAAATATTCTATCAATTCAAGGGTTTGTTTGTGGGCTGGGGGACTTGGGCTGTTATGATGGCATCCTGGGATGGGGAATGAACATTTATTTCATTCTGGAAGTTTCTTACAGATGGCAATATATCTGATGAATTTTGATTTGGCTTGTTTAATCACATAATATCCATAAGCCTATGTTCTTTTAACTCTGACCTTAACTTTTAAAATCAACTAATTTATGAGTATTTCTAATCTTTTGGTGGCAGAGGCAAGGGGAATTGATGTACATAATTACCTATGACATTCTTTTTGGACAGGTACCATGACTTTCTTGGATGTTACATTATCTTTTTCATTTTCTAATTTTTTTCTTTGAAATGGATGTTATACTATCTATTAGTTACTGTGAATAAAAGCAACAAATATTGCAGTAGTCTCTGTGGATATTTTGTGTGTGTGTGTCATGCATTAAGTTTGCCTTTGAGATTTGCCATTCATATGCAGACTATTTCTTCAGTTACATGAATCCCTTTTGATGTGAGTTTGAAGGGTTTGCTTGTCCATAACAGGAGATAATATCCATGCACTTAATCCTTAAATGTGTTCCTGCTAACAGCATCTAGTCTCATGCTCTGATTGTAGTCACTTGACYGTCCATCTAAGMAATGCCCATTGGATTGGRATTAACTCATGGGCTGTAGCTTTTAGRACAAAATGAACATGAGTTCCTATCACAGGTTGTTTAGAGCCTTATATTATGTCATTTGGAAYATTTATCTCTTTCTATAGCGCCTATAGTCCGTGTATGCTTGTTTTTATGTGTTCTATTTGTAGATTGGCTGGTTGACCTTTTTCAAWWTTTATGGTGTATTCTAAACTATTTTTGCTATAAATTAAAGATTATGCAGAWCTTTTTGTTTGCTATTGTCTGTAATATTTTTGCAATTGATTGCCATTGTAGTGATTTTAATTTTGTATATTACCTCCTGAATTACAGTGGATACTCTTAGAGTATATAGCCAAATAATTGGCACTTTGGTTGCTGTGTCTTTTCTCTAAATTGATAATCTACATGATTTCAACACTTCATAGGATGCATCTCTAACAGGAGATGCAGAAAAATATCTCATCCTCAGGAAAGGTCCACTACAATCAGCTCKTGCAAAGATTTTAGYAAGGAAGGGAGCAAAAAATGTAGAAGATTTGATGGCTCAATATCAGATTCCTGGTTTGTGGTTTTAAGCTTTTTTTTCCTCCTGCTAATGTTCTATTTACTTGTTTTTGTGCTACTATGTTCRKCACGATATTTATGATTTATGGTTTATGTTGCAGATGTTAAGAAACCTCGCTTTGTCCGTGTTAATACTCTGAAACTGGATGTTGAAACTGCTGTGTGTGAACTAGGCAAAGAGAATGAGGTAGCCTCTTCAACATATGCATATCATTCATGCAACAAAGATGGTTTTTTTTATCCTTGTTATTAGCAATAATGTCTTGGGTCWCTCTATGCAGCAATGAATATGGCTTTCATCATTCTCTTCTCTTCTAGTTAGAGGAGGGATTACCTTGCTGTGATTTAATGCTAATGCTTATGAGCATTATTTGAGGTTTAGGGTTGGTCTGTGTACATTAGGGGTGCTCAAAAACCCGATGAACCCGATCAACCCAACCCGAATTTTAAAAAAAATCCTCAACCCGAGGTAACCCGATGCATGATCGATAAAAAAATTAGCCAACCCGACCTTATTGGGTTGCAATCGGGTCAGGCCCAAAAAAACCCGACCAACCCGACAACCCGATGAACCCGACCTTAACTTTAGCTTTGAATTGTAGATGACAATCATGACATGACCAACCTCAACGTCAAGAAAGCGAAAGCATCGAGGTTGGAAACGTCTAAAACTATTGTTGTTGATTATTGTATTATCATTTGGTTTAAACATTTTTATTGTAATATCTAAATATTTGATGAACTTGCATATTATCTTGAATGGTCGGTCGTATTTCAAAAGAAAGTTTTCTTTATTTTTATGTGATTTTACATTGTTTAAACACAACCCGATCAACCCGATCAACCCGAACGGGTTGGGTTGGGTTGGATTGAACTTTTGTTTGGGTTGGGTTGGGTTGAAAATTTTCAAACCGCCAACATTGGGTTGGGTTGTTAAAACGGCTCCAACCCGATCAACCCGGGCCGTGAGCACCCCTAGTGTACATCCCACCTCCTTGACCCTGCTTTTGAGTGGGATATACTGTGTGCCTTTGGTTCGGTTATGACCATTATTTGTATAGATCTCAAAGTACAGCATAAAACAAAGAAATTATTGCCAAGTGAAACCTTGAACTTTTTTAATTTTGAATATATCATCACAAAGCAATGAATGTGGCTGAGAACATCGTTAAAAGGTGCAAACTATTATACTTCAAATACTTTGATAMRTGAACTCTTTAAGTAAGTGAATCACAGATCCTATTTTCTAGAAATCGGTTGTAGCAAAGCCTATAGAACATTTTTAACCTGTACTTCCTCTTAAACATATTTTTTGCTTCATGGGGAATGTCCACTTAATCCTGTCATTCTAAGACTCTTAGCCTGTGAAATGTTAGAACTTAACAGCAATAATTAAGGCCTGCATAAGAAGATCCTGTAGATATTTGATGTCAACCTGTATACAGCCAAGTGTTTCTGGCTTTCTGCTCAGTGTCACCTTGTATTTCAGCTGGCAAGGTCTTGCACAGTACTTTATATCTTTCGCTTTTCTGATTTTAGTTATCTTGCTTGCTTACTTTATTTGCTTATAATTCTTTCCAGGTTCATAAGGATGACATGATTCCTGATTTATTGGCTCTCCCACCTGGTACTGATTTGCACAATCATCCTTTGGTCATAGATGGGAGTATTTTTATGCAAGTAAGTTAAGAGTTTCTCATCATGCTTTATATGATTATCTGTACGACAAGGTTTTATCATCCAATACATCCATTGCACAAGAATTGCAACAAGTTATTCTTCACCTGTATAAAGATGGGTGTTTAAGTAGTAGGCACCCTTACTTCAGAAAGTAGTACTAGAGTGATCAATTCTACATCACATCGTATGAATAGGAGTATTATATTGTTTTACTAGGAAGAAATGCAACAATAAATAGGCCATGTAAGTTTACAGATATGGAAAAAGTTATATATAGATTTTTCCTGATCTTTATCTCTTTTGATCTATGATTACATTAATATAATTCATTGTGTCTCAGGGTAAGGCAAGCTCCATGGTAGCAGTTGCCCTTGGGCCTAAATCAGGATGGGAGGTTAGTTATTCTTCGAGTATAAATGTATTAGTGACTGTTAAAGATTCTTATGTTAGCTTCTAGTTCGAATAATCTACAAATATTTGACTCTTTTTTCCTTGTTAAGGTTATTGATGCATGTGCAGCCCCTGGAAACAAAACTGTACACCTTGCTGCTCTTATGAAGGGAGAGGRAAAAATTGTTGCTTGTGAACTTAACAAGGATAGAGTTAAACGTTTGGAACACACCACGAAGTTGGCGGGCGCTGCTAGTATCCTTGTTATTGCTTTTGCATCTTGAGTGTGTGTATAGGTATGCATGTACATACATGTACATATATGCGCACTTCTGTGAATTGTTTACGATATAAATGATAACACGCGTCCAAAAGATTTATCTAAGTATATTTGTCACATTCTTTTCACTAATCATCTATTTACTCTTTCCATGCTTTTTACATGGTCATACATGGACTCCTAATAGCACGCATTCTAGGATGAAGATCTTTTTTATCCTTCAGAAAGTTATTGTTTACGATAACAAGCATGTTTGAGGAGGATGTGGGCTGAGCAGAGGAGGTCCAAGACATTTCAGAGGTCATGAACTCTGATGGGAGTTCATGGAGACATAGGATTAGGGTAGCAGATTATGGACCTACATGTAGCGAGTGTGGGAGGGGAGATTGGAGAAGTAGACAGTGAGTCGGGGGAAGGGTTGGAGAGCCTTAAGATGGATAGAGGAATGTTCAATTTTCATACTTTTTCTTATATGATTCTATGTTTTTTTTTTTGCACTTGTTTAACCTTTTTTTTATGCTTTATAGTCTTGGTTTGCTTACATCCCATTTCCCAGACCCTACTCTCGAGTGGGACATTTAGGTGTGTTAGGTTTGGTTTTTATGCACGTCTAAAGGATTTAACAAAGTAGATTCTTTCCAGTAATCATAGCATGTATTCTAGGATGAAGATGTAATTCTTCTGGAAGTTATTATTGGTAACTAACTATATGCTTATTCTAGGAGAATTTATGTCAGTCTTCTTGTAATCTCTTTTAACTTGCAGTTGCAGGTATAAGGAAAGTAGGAAGTTCGATTTTTTTTCATTTGTGTAATCTTTCCTCGTTAGTACTAAGCTCGCTCAGTGTTGACCTTTTGGTCTATAGTTGTAAGATTGTGTCCCATTCAGGTGTACTTTATTAATTGGAATTCATTACTCTGCTTTGGTACATCTTACATGATTTATAGATGTGGAAGTTTTACACGAGGACTTCTTGAACTTGAATCCCAAAGATCAATTGTATTCCAAGGTACGTATTGATTTGGGTTGCATATATCTTACTAAGAAACATTTGAAGTTATCTTTCATGTGAATGGCATCTGTAAAAGAACTAGGCAGAGCATAGCAATTAGATTCTTGGTTTGATGCTACTAAATTCTATTTTTACTGCCCAATGACTGTTGCCTTTCAAAATTCTATCCTATTGTAACTATTAATACAGAACTGAATGAGAGTTCAATTTCTGCTTGCTTTGAGAATATTGAAATGAACGTTGACTTTTTGTTTGGCATAACATCTTTCTGTCGTTCGTATTCTGGATTCTTTTTTATCTACTTCTAATTGTCTACTTTTAGGTCCGTGCCATACTTTTAGACCCTTCATGTTCTGGATCTGGGACCGCTGCTGATAGATTGGATTATCTGCTCCCGTCACATACTTCAGGTGAATTGCTAGCCGTCCGCATCTTAATCACGTATCAATTAAAAAAACATGATGGTGATCTAACACAACAATATACTTGCCGAAAGTTGGAGAAAATGAACCCTGTATTCTTCTTAAGATCAAATGACTGCTTTAAGTAGAGTATTTTTGAACTCTGAACATACAATCTTAGGTCTAAATCTAATTTATTGCCTAAATTGTGTTTCTTTTGGCGCTCTCTTTTGGGGAAGGTGATGGTGATGACATAAGCCGACTCATCAAACTTGCTGCTTTCCAGGAGAAGGCACTAATTCATGCATTATCTTGTAAGTTGGAATTCGACAAACTCCAAAGTTACAATGTTATGTGCAAATTCTACTGCAAAGTATGGTTTCTCATTTCCGATCTAAAAACGTGGAACCATATCATGACATACCCAGAAAATGATCACTAGAGGTGGCCTTCTGATTACTACAAAGAATAAAGATGAAGTAAAAATGAATTCAATAGTAAAAGAGTAAAATGTTCTTTATGACGTGGTAGCATCAGTTAAAAACTGAAATGGATCATCAAGACTAATTGCATGAATTTGAAATCTAAGATTTTCATCTGATTATGAAATTATATCATTATGTCTAGAGAAGTTCATTTCTGGTGTGTAATTGTTGTATATATATTTTTATTTTAGTTCCAGCAGTGGAGAGAGTGGTCTACAGCACATGTTCTGTTCACCAAATTGAGAATGAGGATGTCATCAAATCAGTCCTACCTCTTGCTGAATCTTATGGTTTTCAACTGGCAACCCCATTTCCAAAATGGCCTCGTCGTGGTCTCCCGGTTGTTGAAGGATGTAAGTTTTGTTACACTTCAGTAATACTCTCTCCATCCCAAAACAAGTGTCCACATTTCTATTTTAGTTTGTCCACTTGCAAAAGTGTACTTCCCAATTCTATTATTAATTATGGGATAGAGACGTTCATTACGTCCTCTAGTATTAAGGGTTTAATTCTCATTTGGTTAATTAAGAAGTGTAGTACTTGCAAAATTTAAAAAAAGTGTGCCTTTTTCATTGTGGATAATTATTTTGGGATAGAGGGAGTAGCCATTTGTTGAGTAATGCATGGAGACTTCCTCCGAATGGATATTTTTGTCATTTTTTAAGTTTATCTTTTAAGTTTACATTTCAGACCTCCATACTGAAACTTTCTGATCAATCTATCTTGTACTCTCCTTGATCCACTTGATTTTCCATGTTAAACTGTTACATATGCATGCAAACATCTTTCAAAATGTGATGAAGTTCAATCTCCCTTCATTCCAAAAATAAATGCACATTGCACATTTGAATATCTAGAATATTTCCCAAGAACGGCAGTGTAGAACAAATTTTTGGATGAAATTCGATATTATTAATAACTTCTAATAATTGCTAATCGGCAAATAAGTCGTTTTTAAAAAGTTACTGTTTCTAAGGTAGCGTTTGGTACACATACATGATTGGATAGGACAAAACTGCATGGGACAAGAGGGTAAGACTGGACGGGATTGGACAAGTGTTTGTCTAGTGTTTGGTACGACTAGGAATGGATAGGACAGAACTAGACAACTTGCCCCAAAAGTAATTTGATGATTTTATATACCATATAATAGTTATAATTAACACAAATAAAGTAAATAATTTAATTTATAAACATTTTTTACACAATTTTCATATACATAAATACATACATATATAATAGTGGTGGTGGCGATGGGTGATGGTGGTCGGTTTCCTATGGTGGTTGTGGAGGATGTGAAGACGATAGATAGTGGTGGTGGTAGTCGACAATGGTGGCAGAGGTAGTTGTGGCCGTTGTAGTGGAGGTAGTCTGGTTGTGGGTAGTAGTCGTCATAGCCGAGGGTGGTGGTGGTCATGGCGGAGGTGAGGTGACCTATGGTGGTTGTGGAGGATATGAAGATGGTGGATAGTGGTGGTGGTGGTGGTGGTGGTGGTGGCAGTCGACAATGGTGGCGAAGGTAGCTGTAGTGGAGGTAGTGGTGGTGGTGGGTAGTAGCCGTCGTAGCCGAGGGTGGTGTTGGTCATGGTGGAGGTGGGCGGTCTATGGTGGTGGTGGTGAGCAACAGTCGTGGTGGCCAAGGATGGTTTGGTGATCGACAGTGGCTGTGGAGGTTGTAGAGGAGGTTGTTGTCGTAGAGGATGAGGTAGAGGTGGCCCACAGTGGTAGTGGTGGTCGGGGGCCAACAGTGGTTGTGGAGGTGGCAATGCACAATGGTGGTCAGTGGTCGACGATGGTGGAGGTTGTTGTAGTGCAAAATGAGGTGGAGGTGGCCAACGGTTGTCGTCTATGGTGGCGGCCGCAACCACTAGCGATGGTGACCACCAAAACAAATACCATATTAAGGTTATATATTAAACGAAAGTAGATTAGTAACATTTTAGTTTCTACCTCATTCTTGTCTCATCTTGTTCCACCAAAATAAAAGCCGTCCCACCGTGTCTCAGTTCTTGTTCCTGTTTCATGTCACGCAAAACATGGACAGCGAGTTCTTGTCTTGTCTCATGTCGCGCCAAACGTGGGACAGTGAGTCTTGTCTTGTCCTGTCCCCTCTCATGTACCAAACGCAGATAATGGCTGTTAAAGAGGGAAATGTTCCATTTATTTGGGTTGGAAATTCATGCCATTTTTGAAGTATATATACTCAGCATGTTGTTTTTGTACATAATCTTCAGCACAACATCTGTGTGGGATTTAGTAGGTTCGTTTCATTTGTTTTTTCAGCACAACATTTACTCCGAACGGATCCTGTGGAAGATAAAGAGGGCTTCTTCATTGCATTATTCACAAGGAACACCAATCATTTTCCTGCAAGTCCTCAGAGAGACATTTCTCCAGAGGAAGGAACACACGAAGCTGGTAGAAGATGTCATCGCCGGAAAAAGTTTGCAAGATCGCTCCCATTTGCCAAGATTTCCGGATTTTATCTGCATAGAAATTCAACGATCCGCAGAAGGTAATTCTCAATTTTGTTTACAACACATTTTGACAGATGTTCTCTTTACCCCCAAAAGGTTGAGAATATGTAATCATGTTTTAGGATCATTGTTGATCTGCAAATTTTGAACCAACGATCATAACTCCTTTTTTTGGTTATTACTTGTGGGGTTTTTGTGATGTTTTATATTGGAGGATGGGAAATGAATATTTATGTAGGGGCCGTTTACCAAACACTTACCCGGTAAGTGCTTACCGGTATTATTTACTTACCGGGTAAGATTTTAGTCCACCAAAACAACATCGTATGCAACAAAATACCCGGTAAGCGCTTACTTTAAGATGGAATATATCAAGATGGTATTAATGAATAATCTAGAGAGGAGCAACCCGGTTAACAAACTGAGTCTCATCGGACAGGACATGGAGCAATGAAGTAATTAGCCCTAAAGTAATTAGCCCTATGTGGTAGGTCTGAGGGCTATCACAATCAAGTGCGAAGTAATTAGCCCTATGTGGTAATATGGTTAGCTAAGCCTTATCTGGCTACTCCTAGAGTAACGGTACAAAGCCATAAGCAGTACTCCTCCTTAAAGGCATCAATTCGGGAGCCCTTTTGATCCATTAGGAATATCAGGGATAAGAATTAGGAGCTGCTTTTCTGGCCTCTTTCTCTTCCTCTTTTTCTGCTTCTGTTAGGACCTGCCCTAGAAGATCGCATTTTTGACTTGAGCACCGTCAACTTGGGTCGAATTAATAAATGGATAGGGCTCCACAACTTCAGTCTGTCACCATCCCATTTCGAGGACTTACAGAAACAAGTGGGTTATCTTTCTGCAAAATTGTGGAACTACGAGATTACCCCAAGGATGCCTTCGGCATCCAAAGTCTGTCTGTACAAACGATCTAGACCTATATTCGAAGTTTCCTTGGGGTTGGTAAGGCGAAATGGCATTCTAACAGACCGGTAGACTTGAACCTTGTTTCTAATTAAGAAAAATAACTCTCTGTATAAATTCTTCTAGTTTTAACGACGGAACCGGTGTTGATCAAAGACATCCTATTTCAGTGGACAAACTAGCTTTCTAAACCCCCTTCACCCCGCTCGTGAAGTGGTGTGAATCCATTGATGAGAAGGGGCTAGGGAAAGCTTTGAACTCCTAACAACTAACAAATAACAAGCTTGTAAACACATTCAAATAAGGTAATTCATAATTTATCAACAAAACTAAAATAAAACTATTTTATTTTTAGGGAAAATTGCACCAAAATGAAACCAACACCTAATTTCTATTTAAGGGAACCAACTTTCAAAATCGTCATTTTGAGGAACCAACTTGCACCTGATTCTTATTTTGAGGAACTAACTTTCAAAATCCTCATTTTGGGAACCAACTTTCAAAATAATTATAGAAAAATAACTAAAATTCGTTTTTTTTTCTAAAAATTAATGCAATAAAATATATTTTTCATTTAAAATCTCGTTTTTTTAATTCAGATATCAAATTGAACATTTAAAAAAAATCCAAATTACCACAATAAAAATTGTTTTTTACTAATGCAAAAAATCAATTTAATAGAAAAAAATTAATTAATGCAATAAAAAATAAATATTAAATATCATATTCAAGATTTTTATATCTAACCAATTTGTATCAATTAATTTTTTTTCTATTAAATTGATTTTTTTTTGCATTAGTAAAAAAATAAATTTTATTGTGGTAATTTGCATTTTTTTTTAAAATGTTCAATTTGATATCTAAATTAAAAAAAACGAGATTTAAAATGATAAATAGATTTTATTGCATTAATTTTTGGAAAAAACGAATTTTAGTTATTTTTCTATAATTCTTTTACAAGTTGGTTCCCGAAAATAGGAATCAGGTGCAAGTTGGTTCCCCAAAATGACGATTTTGAAAGTTGGTTCCCCAAAATAGGAATCAGGTCCAAGTTGGTTCCCCAAAATGACGATTTTGAAAGTTGGTTCCCTAAAATAGGAATTAGGTGCAAGTTTGTTCCCCAAAATGACGATTTTGAAAGTTGGTTCCCTAAAATAAAAATTATGTGAAAGTTAGTTTCATTTTAATACAATTTTCCCTTAATTTTAAATAAAGAATATTTTAATTATAATAACACTTTGAATTAAATAATTATACCAAAAATGAAATTTTATCATCTTTAATTTGATAAATATATCAATATATTTATTTCGAATTTTTTTTAATATACCGCATGTTTAAAATACCAAAACATGTTCAACCAATTATGATTTTTCTTTCAAACATAAAATTTGAACTTCAATAGTTTAATAGGAACGGGTTCAAACAAGAAGTTAAACATTTTACGAGAAAACGAAAAGTTTTAATTTTTTTGATTAACCTGGATATCTAACCCATTATACGAGCTAATTAATTCCAAGGCAACCATCTGCTTTGCAGACATGGGCGGACCTACCATGGTGGTTGTCACCGTATTATTTCTCCGTCGAAGAGTAAAACAAAATTAGGTTCGTGAAAGGTGCAACCGTATTAATCTGTTGTGTGTCATCGTATGTATTTTGAAACTACAATGAGAACAAGTTTTATTTGGTAGAGTTGGTTTGCAAGGCTTTTATTCCACTCAAGACCCAAATTCAAATCTTGTTAGTGTTATTTTCTTAGTCAAATAGTGCTACCGATTGAAAAAAATTCCGTATATTTGTTTTCTTATAGTCAACCGGTGCTATTATTTGAAATTTTTTCGCTATAGTTTTTTCTTATAGTCAAATGGTGTTACCGTTTGAAAAAGATTCTGGGTCCATCCCTGTTTGCAGATAGCCCGAAGTCACCGTATTTAAACCTCCGTGGCCACAAGAGGATTTTTATTCCTGCTTGGATTTGAACCTGTAACCTCCTGCTACTTTTGACTTATGGAGCCGAGCTCAAATCAATAGGCACCACCCTTATGATTAAGTTTTAATATTAATATATTATATATGATTACACGCATGATATATTCATTTAATATTAAACATTGATATATAAACACTTAATTATATATATGATTAAATCATTCAAATAAATGTGACTTGGGATCATGTGAGACCAGCCTGTTTTCGTGAGGCCCGTGAGACCAACATTTTACACTTGAAACTTCACAGCAAAATGCTGTGAAAGTGACTTTTTAAAACCTTCACAGTGTTTTTGCTGTGAAGGTTACGTGTAAAAATGTGGTCTCACATGTCTCACGAAAACAGGCTGGTCTCACGTGAACCCAACCCAATAAATGTAATCATATATATACGATACTAAAAGTTAACACTTTCTCACAAAATTATTAACTAATAATAATAAAATAGAATTTTATATGCAAAGGGTGTTTGTCATCTCTTCTACAAAAACTGTTTGCTAGGGTTTAAGGGGTTATATCAACATTCTGTGGTATCTCGGCGACTATACCAAAAACCCTAATTTGAACCTGTGCCGTCGTCGTGCCACCCATTTCTACGACTTGCTTTCCATCCCTACCCTGTTTCTGACCACTTTATTCTTCATTTAATTTGAATTATTAAGAACGATGGTAGCCCCACTCTACAAGAATCTTGAGCCGACCATGGGAGATAATGAAGAAGACGTTGATGCTGATGCTGATGTTGATGTTGATGATGAACAGAATTGGGAAGATTGGACTGCCGAGGGAGAAGGGGAAGACGATGACCTGGAATTGCTCTGTTTATTTTGTGATTCTAAATACAGTTCAGCTAATTCACTCTTTGAACACTGCCATTCGAGCCACAGTTTTGATTTTGGAAGCATCAGGACGACAATGAAGTTGGATTTCTATGGTTGTTTCAAGCTTCTCAACTATGTTAGATCACAGGTAACACGTCAACTGTTAGAACACTTTAAGCAGACAAATTAATTGTAGTTTCATTGCAAACTAACCATTTTATTTGCTAAATTGCAAAAATAGTGAACTTCTTGCTCAACATCTGAGTTTATGTCCACCATCATTGCACATTTTGGGCATAAATTACTGTGGGCTTTGATTCTGCTGTAATATTTGTTTATTGCTTATTATTACCAGGTGGCACGGAATCAATGTTGGAGCTGTGGAAGTATTTGTCAGTCTAGGCAAGAGCTACAAGATCATTTACATGAACAATCAGGTTTTGAAAGCAATAATCTTCCATGGGACAATGACATGTACCTCAAACCATATATGGAAGAAGATCATCTTTTGTATAGTTTTGGTGAAGATGAAGAAGTTGATGATGATGATATAAGATCAGCTGATGAGGACCTGGCCAGGATTATAAAGGTTTTAGGAAAGACATGCATTGACGACAGAACTGATTCAGAAACATCTGCTTCTATTTCTAAGTTTCTTGAATCCTGCAAGGAGAATGCAGTGACTGAGGTTGTTTCTGTTTCTAAAAACAATGGGGCGAGCTATTCCGACGGTGCAAAGGTGAACTCTAAGAATGCAAAACTAGGCAGTGCCCATGATGGAGTGTCAGATGATAAAAAATCAAATGATTCTTCTGTGAACCCTGCCGATAGTGAAATCATAATCGTGAATAAGAGCTATTTTGGCTCATATGGTTCATTTGGTATCCACAGAGAGATGATAAGTGATAAGGTACCAGTTACTTTTTGAATTATCTGCTCCTTTGTATAACTCGATAATTGCTTCTAAATTTGTTAGTAAAAATGAGGGTAAGCATGTTATGTTATGTAGGTAAGGACGGATGCTTATAGACAAGCTATTGTAGACAATCCATCTCTTATAAAGGGTGCTGTTGTTTTGGATGTTGGTTGTGGTACAGGGATACTGAGGTAAGATCCTTTTGTTTTTCATACTTGATTCTTTCTTCCATTCGAACTATCGAGTATTATTTTCCTTTATTTTGTTAGTGCTTTCTTTTGTTGTTACTTGATGTTACACAACTTATACTTCTAGAGCAACATGTAACTACATTTTTTCAGATAACGTATCTCACAAAAGCTCCATGTTGGAAGAAAGATACACGTGTGAAGATTCTTGTGTATATATTGTATTACTAGTTTTCTCTCCTGCTATATATGAGACATTGAAGGGAATATGATTAAATAATCAAGAAAATGTAGCCACAGATAGCATCATGTTTGCATTTGCAGCTAGATTACTCGGTCTCTATTGCAATTTCCTAACTTCAATTGCAAGTTTGCAACATAAGCAAAGCTGATGGAAAATATTTTACCAAGCATCATATGTGCATGTTATACATATATTATATCAACTGTGGCTTAACCATAGACAAGTCTAGAGGATGGCAACTTATCGTATTCTAATTTATATTTTCACTAGTCTGTTTGCAGCCCAAGCAGGGGCCTCAACAGTAAATGCAGTCGAAGCAAGTGATAAGATGGCTTCAGTAGCCACTCAGGTAATTTCGTTAGAGTTGTTGTCTCTTCTTATGTGTTTTTGTATAAGGATCATCTCCTCCACTAACTTTTCTTGGTTGGAACTCTGCAGATTGCAAAAAACAATGGTCTTCTCTGGAATCAGGAGCAGGGAAGCGGAGTAGTTAAAGTTGTCAATGGCATGGTTGAAGATCTTATTGTATCTGGAAAAATTGAGCCCCAAAGTGTTGATGTTTTAGTGAGTGAGTGGATGGGGTATTGTCTACTTTATGAGTCAATGCTCAGCTCTGTGCTTGTTGCTCGAGATCATTGGTTGAAGCCTGGAGGTGCCGTTCTTCCTGATACAGCTACCATGGTTTGTAACTATAGACTTCTTAATCTTATTGAATCCTTGATCCGAAAACGGGTGTCTTAACTGTTCTGGTTTCCTTATGCTTTAGTTTGTTGCCGGATTCGGAAAAGGTGCCACCAGCATCCCTTTCTGGGAAAATGTTTATGGATTCAACATGTCTTGTATCGGTAACGAACTAGTTGAAGATGCTTCTCATATTCCGATTGTTGATGTTGTGGATGGAAACGATTTGGTGACAAATACTGCACTTCTCCAGGTTCATTAGATTTGTTATAATTTTCTTGTTAAAACTAGTTTTATTAGAGATTATGAAATTGTAACTTATGAACATGTCTTTTGTCGATTTTGGTTCCAGGTGTTTGACTTGGTGACTATGAAACCCGATGAAGTTGATTTTACCGCATCTGTTCAGTTGGAACAAAAGTCGTCACATTCGGCAGGCATAGAATCAACCGTAACCAAGTGTTACGGAATCGTCCTATGGTTCGAGACCTCGTTTACAAGCAGGTTTTGCAAAGAAATGCCTACCGTTTTGTCGACATCGCCTTATACCCCTCCAACACATTGGTCTCAAACGTTACTCACTTTTCGGGAACCAATTTCTTTATCCAAAATGTTGGTCAATGGGAGTTCTTCAACGGTTGGCACCGATGTCGCACCAGCAGTCAAAATCGATTCACGCATCAGTATAGCACGTGGGGTCGAACATCGTAGCATTGATATTTCACTGGAGGTAACAGCTATTGGGTTTGATGGTCGAAAACGCCAATGGCCTGTGCAAATGTTTCATATGCGTTAGAATTTAACGTTTTTGTAATGCTTAACATTCGTTATTTTCTCGTTGATTTCGAGTCACGTATTTCAAAATACGTAATAGACATGCAACACTTTCGTAAATTTTGAAATCCAAAATGATCGGCATTGCTGAAAGCTTTGTGTCGGTATTTTATCTATATCAGTAGGTTAACGATCAAAAGGATTATGAAATAGAAAATCTTGAAGTATTGTTTGGCTGACAATTTTTTTTCTTGTTATTGCAAACTCGTTATATTTTGTAGGGGTGTTCAAAAAACCTGAAAAACCGAGTTGAACCATTCGATCTGATATCGGAAAACCCGATAACCGAAAAATCCAAAAATCGGGAAAAACCGAAAACCAAAAAAACAAGGTTGGTTTCGGTTTTGAATTAGAGGTACTTGCTACTGCTAGTACCAAAAACGAACCGGATGTAATATAATATAATATAATAAATAATAAATTTTATATTATCATTTATGCATTTATTTGTTAACCTAAAGTTTAAAAAAGTAAAATATTTTACGGTTTGATTTCAAATATTTTGGTGGATGATTAATTTAGTGTTTGAATTCGTTTTTATTTAATGATTTTATTGTTTGGAATGATTAAGTCTTTGGATAATTTTTTTGGAACAAATAAGTCTTTGGATATTTCAAAACGTATTAAATAATTGATTGTACTTTCTAAAACATGTTAGATACATTCTTATGACCTATATAACTGGTTAATGTGATAAAATAATAGAAAAATTCTGAAAAAACACAATGGACTTTCATATTTTGAATGATTAAGTCCCTAAAATTTTTTTTTAATAAAAAAAAATACTTACATCTATAAAATGAAACAAATATACCAAACAGTAGATTTTTAAATTAAAAAATAAAATATATTTTGTCAGTGATTTTTTAAATTAAAAATAAAATAAAAAATGATTTAGAAAAAATT